CCCTCATGGCAGTGTATCGCTTTGCTGATATACTGCAGCACGCCTTTCTTTCCTTTTGCGCGCCTCCTTGGCTCGCTTCTTCTTGCCTTATATCTCTCTCTATCTGTTCGTATACTTATTGCTGCGCCTTCCTTCGCGCGTGCCCCGCGCACGCCCTCGCCTTGCTTGGGGTCGCTTCCCCCTTGGCCCTCCATCTTACTTCTTCATTGTTCTCCTTTGCTGCCTTTCAAACATTGTCTTCCCTTACCCCTCCTTCTTGCGCTGGAAAGGCACAAGTCACACATAGTTGTTTGGCGCCCGTGCCCATGCATATTTCGTCTGAACCCTGAGTAGGATCTCCATTTACCGGACTTGGCTAAGTTCGCCAAAGTCATGCAGTAAGTTCTGTATATGTGAGCCACCTAACTGCACTAAGTGAACTTGTGGAAGTTCTGTAAACTGGCTGCGTATGTGCTGTATGTACATAACAACTCATGCAAATGACAGTCTGAAGTGCCAGGGCCGGAGCGGAACATGAGACTCTTGTAGAAAAAGTAGTTGAGTGCTCCGATGTCTTGCGTTGAGCCGGCAAGAGAAGTACATTTTTTGCTCAAATGTATGGATTTCAAGGAAATGCATTGACAGAGGCGGTTCTGCATAAACACATGTTTTCATATGTTTGGCCCAAACGGGCTTAAAACCCCGGACAACCCCCCGGACAAACCCCCGGACAACCCTCCGGACAGCTTTGAGGGCACAAAATCGGCGGGACAACTCCCCGGACAAACCCCCGGACAACCCTCCGGACAGCTTTGAGGGCCCAACAGCGCGGGACAAACCCCCGGACAAACCCCCGGACAACCCTCCGGACAGCTTTGAGGTCCCAAAAACCCGGGACAAACCCCCAAGTCTTCGGACAGGTTTGGAACACGCCAAAACCACTCGGAAACCTTTGAAACCACTCGGAAACCGCTCGGAAACCACTCGGAAACCACTCGGAAACCACTCGGAACCCGCTCCAAACCACTCGGAAACCACACGGAGGGAAGTATTCTCGCAGGAGGGGGGGTTTGCAGCATAAATCTCGGCAAAGTGCGCGGACAACCCTCCGGCCGGACAACCCCCCGGACAACTTGCCGGACAATTGTTTGTCCAGCAGTTTGTCCCGCACTTTGTCCGGCACTTTGTCCCGCACTTTGTCCCGCGTATCGAGGGGGGTGTTTATGCAGAAGGGCATTCGTCAAGAAATGCACGGATTTTTGCAGACAGTCACAAAATTGCCCTGGTTGGTCCAGGTATGTTAATTGCCAGCAAAAGTAACGATGGTTGCACGAACCAAGTGTTGCAATCGCTGGCAGGGCAAAGCTCTGACATCTTGACGCAGGGCTTGGCCCTTGGACCAGATCCATTCCTTGTCAGAAGGCCCTCGGAGGTGTAGGTGCTGTTTATCGTGGGCTCCACCTTCTCCACACACGTGGACAGCCAGCAGAGCTTGTCCAACTAAACACAGCTACACCAACACAACGGAAGAGGAGTTGACTGCTGGACAGATTCGACTACTTGCGCAACAATCTTATCAAGATGCTCGACAATCTGAAGGTGTCCGGCAAGACCTCGCGCAACACCTGCGCCTCGGCTCAAAGCCAATCGTAATTGGCCACGTGGCTACAGAGCATAGACCTTGGAACCAGATTGCTCAAGGTCAACATCACCAAGCTGAGGAAATATGAAACCAAGTCGCCATCCAGACATGGACTTGACCTGCCATCCTCCGACGACGATCTTCATAAAGACCTACTCGAACAAGCCAAGTCAGGAGAACAACCAGCCAAGCGAATAACCAACAAGACAACACCGGACCCACCAAGTTCCGCAGCAGCTTCCTCCTCAGGTTGCAAAGCTCAGTTTGCAAATTGGAACTGCGTGAGTAAAGGTAAGATCCATGTCTTGGAGGTATTCGCTGGCAGCGCCCACCCTAGTCAATGCTGCGCGCTAACAGGCTTAAAGGTCGACACACCGATCGACATTCGAGTTGGCTTTGAGTGATCCGAAGATTGCTGCAGAAAAGAGAGCCAAGCACTTGCCTATGATCGACTTCATAGCTTTGATCGCAGGATATTAACAGAACCGAGGACTCTATTTCATCATTGAGAAAGAGCCAGTCCACAGTGAAGCACTTGCATTTGTCCAACCGCAACCGTCCAGGAAGACGAAATGAGCTCTTGTAGCAAGCCCAGTCAACCAATACTGCCTTCAAGCTCAAAGAGCTCCCTGCTTCTTGCTGCCTCCGAGCCCACCTTTCTGCCAGGCATTTCTTGTACAAAGCGGTTATTGAAACTCGTAGGCTTTGCTTGCCAAGTGCTTTGCTTGCCAAGTGAGGCAAATTGAAAGAAAAAACTTCCAAGGACTCTCTTTTAGCATACGACGGCCACTCCGTCCACCCAATAGGTATAATGCCTTCAGAGTCTATCTGTAGCTGCTCTGCAACTTGCTTTATGCGACTCTGCAGCTCAGATCCGGGAGAACGACTTCCTGCAACATACTCGAAAGAGCCCGGCCCGGCCGTCAGCAAAATATTCCGCGATGTCGTCATCCGCACCTCCAGAAAACAAGCTGCCCATGGAGGGAAGATCCTGTACCTGGAGGGCGGCATGGATCAATATACACCCGACGCAGTCTTAACTGACGAGACAAAGGGTGACTTCTACAGAACCCATGCGCATCGTGCCGGGCTACCGTTCCTAACGGTGGGAGTATACCATTACGAATGCAATGCGGCAAAGTCGTAAGTAATGCAGTCATTGGGAACATGGTCCGATTCGTAAATCGGGGCTTGAAACACATGGTCGGTGCGATCAGTGGCGACGCGAACCCAGCGTGCAACAAGCTCAGCAAGAACCAGTTGGTAGCGCACCCTCAGATCTCCGCCATGCTCTTAGCTATGGAAGGAATCGTGAAATGCTTCATGTGAGGCCCAGAAGCAAGAAGAGATCCGTATTGGAATCTTCACTCAACTATGGCACCACAGCCGGACTGGAACATGATGGATTCTACGGATTGCTGGATTGCTTGGTAACAAATGTTTTCCATTGGGCCAAGACGAGCCAACGAAACATAACCGACGATCTCAAACCAGATGAGAATCAGCCACTGCGAAACAAATTTCCTGCTTGCAAGGTGAGCTCAGGCGAAAGATGCAAACTCCTGACAGATCAGCTCCTGATCGGGTCAAGTGATTCAGATTGGCACCATCCGCTCCTCGTGAATATCGCATGAGAACAGCAACATCTCCGATCCGAGGCAGCGTTGAAAGGGAAAAGAGAGAAGCAATGTCATCACAAGGACATATGATGTTGACATATCTGTTCGCTCCGGCTCGCCGGAATTTCTCACCATGATTCTTGGCACGGTCATTGTCTTTTCTACATAGGCCGCCCGTCAGAAGTTGCGTGTGTCCGTGCTCAATTGTTTCGGAACCCACTAATTTCAGGGCTACGGCACAGTGCTACCACTGCACAACTCCGTATATTTCAAGCCCAGGAGCTGTGTGATTCAAATTGCGCAATGGCAGTATTAATTGAATCTGAGATGCCATGAGTGGAAAGAAATTTGTGTCTGTGTTGTTTCTTGTTTGTTCTGTGCTTGTGTCACAGCATCCACTCGTGCAGCAATCTCAAGCTTTTGCATCTCTAGCTCATGGAGAAAAATCCCGCTTTGCTGACTGTGGTACAGTTTCCACTTGTTCCTATTGGACCCAAACACTGCTTGCAATACATGTGGTCATTTACCCCTTCGATGCATATTTACAATACTGACCACTTCGTTGCGTGAGAGTGGAAAAATGCAAGCCCAACAGGGCAGCAAGTGGCTACGTTAGCATAAACATGCAAGCGCTTGCGCAGAGCATCTTGCACAGACTATGCGCAGAGCACTTGCGCATCCATCTCGTAGAGCAACTTGCACTGAGCGCTTGCGCAGAGCAACTATCAAACAAAGAACACTTGCGCGAGCAAACTCGCACGAGCACACTCGCGCGAGACAGCTTGCAAGATTTAGCTTTTGCTACAGTGCCCCTGATAGACCCGAATCGTGCACGGAAGCAAAGACCGCATTTGGCATCACGCGCTTGCGGTTTGTTATGCTTTCGCGCCACCCGTTCTTCTAGTTTTAACCGAGAAGCTTGGCAACCTCTTACTGTACGTCCTTTTGGATTGATGTTCCGAAGCGTGTCTTAGCAGCCTTACAGGCTCAAAGAAAACTGAGGCAGAAGCGGTTCAGTTGGTAGCGCAACCGACGGCGAAAGGGAATAAACCACTCTAACGTTTACTAAAAGCCCTTCCTTCTCCAGGGTGTTCCGCAACCGTTTGTGGAGCTGAAAAAAATCCGCGACAACCAGCGCCCGCCCCACGTATTATTGGAAACGCAAAAACGCCATTCGACCATGACACGCGCACCGACAATGTTTAAATCATTCACCTTTGCCAACCCCAACAAGCGTCATCTCTCTTTGATGCCAAAAAGGAAAATGGGGATCGAAGCTTAAACAGCTTTCATTTGCGCCGCCCAGACCTCTTTTTGGGTCAACGAATGTATCTGCCTCAAAGACCGTAAGAAAAGAACCCACACCGGGCTGGAAGCAGCAGAAACGCCAACCTGCGGCTGCGGGAAGCTCCAGGCTCACAATTCCTTCTACCCCAACTTCGGACTGCAAGCTGGGGGTTGGCCATTCAAATGTGACTGCGTTGCAGGCTGGTCGCGCTGCCTTTTTCCGTTGGCACAGGCAACAGGACAACAAACAGGAGGCTCCCAAGGCAACTGAAAACTGAAATACTATGTCCTGGTCGGTGGAACCCTATGAAAACTAACTCCTCCACAGTCTCCCAAACTCGCGACAAAACTCAAATATCAAAGCACAAGCCAATTTCCAGTCTCAAAAGAAAGCAAATAAAACCCGCCGACCCCGAACCCCAACCACCGATCCCGGCGTCGTGATGAAAGGCGTGGCCCGCCATCGCACCAGCCTTGTCTTCCTCCGTGAACAAATAATCACGCAAGTTCTCCGACACAAAGTCATCCTTGGCAGTCAGAAGGTTAATCTGGCTGGCAAAAAGAATCGTGAGAATCGGTTCTGGCACAAAAAGCCCTCTGCGACACTGGCCATTGCCAAGCATGATATTTCTCAGAACTCCATTCAGCCCCCTTTCGGCCTGCTCAGCCTGCTCCCTCACGGCATACGCGTCCGTTTTTGGCGAGACCGAAGCGTTTGCCACCAGCAGAGACTCCACGCAAGAATAGCAGCCTGTCGCCAGAAAAAGGCGCTCGGCGCTCTCCCCTCAAAAGATTCGAAGTTCGAGGGTTTGAGCTGACTGGAAGTTGAGGTAACCTTAGTTTGGGCTCGGGGCTTTGGGCACGCTGCGAGGGAGGGTCTTGATCTCTGAAAAGAAGTGTCCACTATGGTTACGGTGCTCTCCGGCCCTTGGCCTGTTTCTGTTGGAGCCTTTGATGTGTGCCGAATGGATGCATTGATCAATGGATGTCCCTGAAAAATAGCCTTGTAAATAGTATACCACGGAGAGAGCGCCGCAAGGGTTTGCGCAATAGCATAATTACCTACTCTGAGTGGCCCTTGAGACAAAGTTGCAATTGAGATTGTGTGGGGTTCCATGGCTGCAAAAGTCGACATGTTGTAGAGGTGAGTTTATGCGTCTCATAATCGATCAGAGAACCCCTCGAGTTCAATGAGCCCTTGCGAAGATCTCGTTCTTCAGCAAGACAAATAACACGCGTTGGGATGACTTGTCCTCAGTATTGCGGTAGGATGCGTCAGGGTAGCCGATGACGCGTGTCTTGCCATGAAGTGGCCGGAAACTCATACTAGGCCGCACCGGTTGGGGGCGCTTCATTGCCAACCAATGCGGAATTGTGTCCGCGACTGTACCCAATTGACCTGACCTAGGACACATCTGTACAGTATGCGTCTGTGGTGCCAGTGGAGTGTCATCTTTCTGATCTCCTGAAGTTCGTCAATGGTCAATGGCAACATTCTGATGGACATTGATGTACCAATCGTTCTTGTCTTTGGAACCAACGTGAAAATCTCGGTACGAAGTCGTCCCATGATTCCCTTCTTAAACACATCGTCACCGGTCATAAGAAGATCGACATGAAACTCCATGAATTTGTCGATTCTGGAAATTGTTACCCGAAACGCATGAGGTAATCAACTGCGCCTTCTAAATCAAATAGGTTGGATGTTTTATGCCGCTGATCGATGTGGATCTGGGAAGATGCTTATACTGTAGTAAAAATGTACATCGGTCTGCTCGTGTTGACACGAGTCCCCAGGATCGTAGCGCCGCATCTAGGGTGGTGCATCGTTGAGCCCGTACGCAGGCTTCTTCAATCCTATTTGCGCAGGAATCTGACAAACTGATTGTAGGCTTCTTTTGAAGGAATTTCATTCCCATGTGAAAAATGTTCCAGCCTTTGTTTGCTGCTGCTTGGATTGCTAGGCGGAAGCCACTGCTGGACGCAGCAGGACTGCCCGTCTGCTGTTCGTCCTTTTGCTTATCATCCAAACCTTGGAGGACCCAGCGAGCCTTGATCTTCAGTTTCCGTGGTTGTCTCGTTTTAGGGTGAGGGCCCAACGACCGGTAACCCAACTCCTGACCTTGATCTTTCGTGTATCGACTAAATTGAACGCTTCGTTATCAAGCCAAGATAGGCACTCTAGGAGCTTCGCTTCAAGGAATTGCTTCTGATAAGCTCTTGACTTGCCAGCTGTGGATGAGAGAATCCGCAAGGCGAGGAGAACAGGGCTTCCTTCGTAAAGGATCCGGTATTCCGTCTTCTTGGCCAGTACAACTCATAGTTCTCGGTGAACTTCCAGCGCTCGATCATGTTGGCGCGTGAGGTGTGGGTTCATCCTCGCTGATTGATTGCATTGGCAAATTTCATTCCTGGGTGAAGACTCAGGTGATTGGTCGCCTGGCTTCTTCCCATCTTCTGCTTCTTTGGTGGACTGCTCTGCAAGGGTGGAGTTGATTCTTCTTGCTCTTCAGCCTTGTCTTCACTCTCGAAATTTCAGAGTTAGCACCACGACAGTTGTAGAATTGGCTGACATGGCTGCGGCTGAGACGGCCAAGACGCGCGGTAATGTGAGCGGCAGCAACAGTGCTGTCTGGTATCTGGCGGTGGCATTGGATGATCTGGTTCATCAGGTATCTGGAGAAGATGCTGAGGAGGATCTGACGTGTGTTGGTCTGGTAGGCTTGCCTGGAAAATCTGGTGAGTCTGTTTCGATCTTGATGGCCGGCGCATCTGCGAATGGGCTGTGAACGGAAAAAATAGTCGCGCCACGTTCTTGGGTCGAAATTGGATTTGGACGCAGGCGTGACCTTCTTCAGATTGTGTGGAGGTGATGTGAGCGGCATATCCATGCCGTCGGCGTGGACGTACGCTGCGCATTGGTCATATTGAATGGATGACACGCACAACGTTGTCAGCTTTTTGCAACCGCTCCACAACGCCAGTCATTTGGATCTTTGCTGGAAAAGATCAATCTCAGTACCTGGTGGGTACTGCTTCGTTGCTGAAGCTTTGGGCTAGCCTAGCGGATCTTGGACGCTCAATAGCTGAACATTCTTGTGGAACGGGAGGTCTTGAATCTTAGCAGCGTTGCTGCTGCTAGTCGTCAATGGAAGTTTAGTGAGACAACTTTCGAAAAGTGGAGGCACCGACGTGCCTCTCTTTTGCGCACGGGTTCGGCACGGGTTCCAAGACGTTGCACCAATACTAAATCAAGTGTGGCCAGTCTAATATTGCCAACGCTTGATCCTAGATTTCCAGCACTTAATTTGGTTTAGGTTTCTCGCACTTAACTTACCAGTGCCAAGACTTGAAACATCTTGAGCTCCGAGTGCTTAATCTAGTTTTCCAACACTTAATCCCAGACTTTCAGTACGGCAAGACCTAATCTTAGGCTTCCAGCACTTCACTGTCGAAGTTATCTAATCATAAGTTGGTAGACTCAGCGCTGACGTCTTCGCTGCCCTGCCAAGTTTACAACCCAAGAAACCACGATCCAAAATCACGCCACCCAGCGCCAAAGCAAAGTTCCCAGGACTTAGCAAATCTTTTTCCTCCCAAAGTTAGCGCCATGCTCTTTCTGCGCAACGTCTCGCCAGCAGTTCCGCTTGGCGAATCTTGTCTACTTTGACAAATGCACAACCGCTCTTGAGTTCTGTCGCTTGGCCACCAAGCCCATGTAGTTGGCTCTTATGAAGCTTTATGCGATCTGATCAGCGGGCTCAGTCTTGCCATTAGTGGAGCTGCTCGAAAAAATCAGCCGCCTCGTTGACCCGCAAAATACGAGCTAAGCTGCGCACGGTTGGAAGATCTTGCTCTGAGGCAAGCACTTTCAAGGATTCTGAATGACATAGCTTCCTGTCCTTGCCGCAGGTGCCCGCGCGCTGGCAAAGGCCACGATGTTGTCACGCTTGTCCAGCTCCGCGATGCCCTTTGGAAGCTTGCTTGAATAGCCCGATTCTGGTTTGTTTCCCGTCTTCCTTCTGGGTTCTTCCGTGGGTGTAGGGGCCTCAGCGACTCGACCGCAGGTGCGGTGGCCTCGGATCTTGGAGAAAAAACTCTTTGCTTCCGGCGTCCTCGCAGTCCTCCATGGGTCTGTTGACGTAGTACGGACCATGTGTGATTAGACCAACGATCGTCTTCATGTCCGTTTTCCGGACGCCGCCAAACGCTGGAGACAAAATGCCCTTGCGAAACTGATCTCATGGAGTCTTTTCCCTGCGGTGTTGTGGCTCGCGAGCTGTTCGTCGTGAGCCTAATGCCTCCTTCTGAGAAAGGAGTCCTTGACAAACCTCTCGCATCCCACTTTTTTTGGTCCCAAGGACAGCATGACCTAAGACGCATGACTTGATCGGTTTTGAAGTGGAGCTATGATCACAAAGGCATGCCTTTTACCTAAGGCAGCCAGCATCGGCGTCGGCAGATCGGAAAGCGCCTTCCCCACGCTCTGCTAGTGCCAAAGGATGGGTGAGCCCCCCTTCGGCACACTTTCTTCGAAACTAAGTTGTGCGCCATAGGTTGGCTGCACACTGCCGACCTAGGCATCAGCCAAGTGCTTTTGGGAAGCTTGTTTGACTTGTGCATAAGCGTCCAAGACGCCGCCAACAAAGATGAACAAGATGACCGCTTTTTCGAACGCTCGAGTTGACATGCCACCCTAGAGCCCTCCATGATGCCTCCATGCTGGAAGGCAGGCAAGGCTGCGGAAATTCGCGGCTTAGTCCTTTTTGGAAACGAAGTCCTAGATCCTGCTCATCCAGAGCATCTAGCAGCAAAAGCCGCCTGTGCATTGAACGAATGCTGTTCTTGCCTGTCTCACACAAACTTTAACCCACAGCTTCTTCAAGACAAGCGCAATGTCTTCTCATTGCAATATATTGGGCTGCGCAGTTGGGCTCAAGCTCATGATGTGAAAAGATGGCCGAAAAAAAGCCAAAGTTTCACTTGTGGCAAGAAATGGTTTTTGAGGCTGCAGACACTCCAGCAAGGTCCAGGACGCGCAGAGATGAAAGCTGGGGAGGCACCGTCTCAAAGCGGCGCACCGCGCGGTGGCAAGATGTACGCTGTTGGCGCCGCGCTGTTTCAAGGTGGGCCGCTGTCCATCGGCTGCCGGACCCGGAGGAGAAAACAAGGCGCCCACTTGCATGCTGCAGTGATGCCTTGAATCATGCCCCAGCTACAGTGAAGGAGATGCTTGTGCATCTCCTCGAAGGCGTGTCGGGTATATAGAAAGAAAGTAGTGTTTGCACGCTGCGCTTGCAAACCAAGGACGCTTTTGCTCCTTCTGTGTGTGCTCCGCGCGCTTCAGAAAGAGGAATGCTTATACAATTAGCAAACCTTACATAATGTTTGCAAACCAAAGGAATTTGTTGAACAACCTTCCTTAAAAAGGCTTCAGTCCTTTAATTAAGGTTCTTTCAACATGCGTTTAAGGAAGGTTCTAAGGTCTTTTTTCTGAAGTATAAGGTTTTTTGGAAGCGCTGGGAATCAGAAGTTGTAAAAAGTCCTGAGTTTTTTTAACATCGAGCACGCTGTGATCTCCGCAGAGGGTGTGCGGATCAGAAATCGCAAGAAGTCCTCAGTTTTTTGACATCGACCACGCCGATCTCCGCAGAGCGTCGCGCGCGCAGATCAGAAATCGTAAAGTCCGCAGTTTCTTAACATCGCCCACGCTGATCTCCACAGAGCGCGCAGATCAGACACCGTACAAAACCCTCAGGTTTGCAACGTTGATTACGCGGATCTCCGCAGAGGGTCGCAATCCCGAGTGATGATCAAGCTCCCACCCCGGCGCCATAGAAACCTGAACTAACTTACATAGCTGCTTTCGCCGAAGCTCCACGCAAGCTCTCTACCTAACCTTGGCTCTGCGCCCGGAAAAACCCTTCGCGGTGCTTTTGGGGAAAAGCAAAGCGTGTGAATGGCTGATCTCAGCCCTTCCGGGTGCCCAACCACAAAACGCCCCACGACGTGGCCTGACTCGCAAGCAATATGCAGGGCAGTGCTGTGTGTGAGGGCCAGCTTGAAGTGGTTCACGGCTTGTTCTTCGACAAAAGCGGCGGCGCTGTTGACATCGGGCAACTGATCCAGCCTGGGATGGAGGGTTAGCTCTGTCTCTATCTCCCCATTTGGTGGAAAGCAAGGCCGGGTGGCCTTCAACATAATAACGTCCTGCCAAATCCCCGCGGCTCAGGTTGCGACTGCGCCCTCAACATTGTTGACACGCAGAACTCTTCAGGGCTGATGACCATTGCCAAGCAATCTGACCTCCACAAGCGCCTGCCAAGATGCAGCGGCTTTTTGCAGTGCGCTGGCCTCGGAAGCAAAACCAATAGGACACCTATGGTTGCGGCAAACCCACCAACTTGGCGTGCGCCAGAATGGCAGCACCTCCGCCTTGATTTAGTAGTCGAGGGGCATGCCTAGCAATAAATTGCTTTCATCCATACACCCCACCCTACAACTTCTTTCATCTTCCATCTTCTACCCTTATTCGTTTTCATCATGTTTTCTACATTCCTTTCTGTCCATCTCATCTGTTTTTTCATTTTTCCATATATTTTTTTCGTCATCCTTTGTCCTTCCTCCTCGCCTCATTCATTTCACCAACTACCCTTCAAAATGTCATTTATTTGCATATTAATTTGTCAGATTTGTCTTTCTCTAATTTCTCAATTCGTGCCACACATTCTTGAAGAGATTTAATAATTAAAGTGTCTGCTCGTGTTTTTCATCTATACTAAAAATCTTAATGTCTTCCAAACTATTATTTTCATTATTTTTACTTTGAAAAGCACCCATTATATATAATATTATTTAGATTTTAATTTTTCAAAATTATCTTTTTGTGGTTCTTCTTCTTCGTCTTCAGTTGGTGCTGGTATTTCTGTTGGACTTTCAGATGAAGAACTATGAACAGTAATAGGTGGAGAACTATGAACACTAATAGCTTCTTTAGAAGAGCTACTGCTACTTTGTGCATTTCCTGCTGTTATTTGATAAACTAAATCTGCGATATTTATTGTTGTTGCAATTGCGCTATGCAATAAGTTTAATATTATATCTGCTACTGTAGCGCCGTTGTGTAGCATTATTTCTATCATTTTTGTCAGTTTGAACTTATTTTCTTCTTCATCGCTGTCATCCTCATCTGGTGGTTTCTTTGGCGGTGGTTCTGGCGGTTTGTTGTCAAGCGTTTTAGTAAAGGCTGACACTATTGCGTCACGTTGGTTTTTCAGTGTTTGTGTTGCTTGTGTTCTTGTTGGTTCATTTCTCTTGTATGTGTTGCGCCAAAAGATTTTAAGCATTATTTTAGACATATTGTCTTGGTTTTCCTTTACCTTAAACGCTTCAAATGTCACATTTAATGGTTGGTCTGCACCATTGTATAACTTTTCGTCAGTCTCTCTGGTTTCCGTAGCAATCGTATCTGTGTTGGTTGCAATGTCAATAAATTCTCTCGGCATGCCTTTTTTCATCATTTGCGGTGGTTGTATTGTTGTTGAAGTGTTTGGTTTCATTAGGTTATGTATTGAAAAACTGTCGTCATCATATTTATCATTGAATTTCTGCTTCTTTCTTTTCAGTATGTTTTTAGTTAATATTATCATTATTCTTATTTATATTATATTATTTCTTACCTTTACCCTTAAAACTTGTTATGAGTTCTTCTATTCTACCTTTGCTTAAATTTACTATCCATCCGCCATTATCAATAGTGTCTAAAATCATATCCACTAATATTCTTTGTATGTTCTCACCTTGCCTCTGCCTTTGTGTTTCAATTCTTCCTGTATTTCGCTTTCTTCTGGCACTTGAATGCCTCTTAAATAAAACTGAAATTTAATATCATCTACTGTTAAATTAGGGTTGTTTTTCCAGTAAGCAGGACTAGTATTATTATCTATTGTTGTTTTGAATACTGGATATAATGGTAATGGTGGTGGTTGCTGCGCTGTTGAACTTGATGCTCCTGTGGCTTGATATTCTACTTGGGCATCATCTCCGCCTGAAATTGGTGAACCTTCGTAGTCTAATACTGGGAGATTATCCGGTATTGTTCTTGTTGTTGCCGATGGTGCTGATTGTCTGTTCCGCCCATTTCTCGTAAGTTTGATGCCATTGCTTGGCTCACTTCATTTACTCTTTCTTTTGTTGCTGTGGTTAGTTCTTGTAGCCTTGTATCTACCACTGCCTCGTGCTGTCTTGAAGTTTGCAGCGGTGCTGCAAAATCATATTCATCTGCTATGGCTTCTGCGTTTCTGGTTAATGGTGTGTCAGCATTCATCCTATGCACTGCGTATGTGTGTCCGTTTCTGCGCGCTTCCTGTCTCATCATTATCTCTCTCATGTGCCTGTCTAATATTCTCATCTGTTGGTCTTTCAATAATTCTAAGTGGTCGCTTCCATCAAAAAAACTTCCTTGAGGACTTGCTTTGAAAAATGTAGCATCTCTGTTAGGTAGTTTTCCTGTTATTAAACCATTCTCGCCTATTAAATTAGCGGTTTCTTCATAAGTGGGTCGTCTTTTCAGTCCAAATTTTGCATATGGGTTTGTCAATTTTAAACTTGCTGTAGTTGCCATATTTAATATAATAATAGTGAGACTATTAGTATTATTATAAGTTTTAAGTAAATGTTAATTTCTGAAACTCCTCAATTTGTTTTTCCAAATGCTCCTTTTTTTGAATGTGGTAGGTTTGGTCGGTGTAGTTCCATCGTTAATCTGTCTAATTCATTTTGATAATTTGCTCTGGCGTGTCCTTCTTGAATGTGTTTTCTAAATGCTACTGATGCTTCTTGTGAGTTTCTTACTTTCATTTGTTCGTGTAGGTGTTTTAGATACTCATTATCTTTTAAATCAAATGGAATATATTTAATTTGCGAGGATTGTAAGAATATCTTACCTTTTTTTCTTTTTTTAAAGTTATTTCGTTTATGAAATTTATACATCATATATTAATCATAGATTTTAATTTTAAGCATACAAAACGGAGCCACTTTCACGCAATTCTAACACGCTTTCACTAATCATGTGTATGAACACCTCGCGGACATCTTCATCAGTTGTTAGTGCTCTATTACTTCCTTTCAGCTTGAATACTAACAGACCTCCCATTTTAGTATTCTGTCCAGTAAAATTAGTGTCCGCCGTTTTCTCAAATGAAATCCCAATAACAAACTTGTCTTCTCTGTAGCGTTTATATGAAATGCTAAAGGCGTCTTGGTCAGGGTTCAAATAGTGTAATGTTCTTCGGAGGTAGTAGGCACTCTCGGCGAGGCTCTGGCTTTCAAACTCTGGATATTTCCCATTATTTAATTTGTAATTGCCAAGATAAATTTAAATCTGAATTTTGAAAGCCTTTGCCGCGGAATTGCGCACGGGTAAGATTACCATCACCATCAACAGCATCTGGGTTAAAACCGTCAAAAATTCTTGAGTTAATCATAGTATTGTAAAAGTAATTCCATCGCTTGTAAATATAATTATCGTGTCTGTAGTAAGTATTATTATCAGCATCTACACCTGCTCTTGGTGGGCGATACAGTGTAATGAAGCAACCATTTAATTTAGAAGCGGATTTTACAATATTCATATTAATTTCAGTTCCTGCCGCGTTGAATGATTGCATCATAGTGTGATACATTGGAAATACGAATTTCAAACTTTGACCCTCTAACAAATGTTTCACTATATTATTATTGACCGTATTGTCCAATTGTATTACCTCGGCTCGTATAATTACATTATTTAATTCCCACGAGGTGCTGGTGTCTCCAGTTGTGAAGTAATAACCTTTGGCATCATTTTGAGTATTGTCATCAGTAACGGTAAAGGGTGTAATAACTGGTGTATGCTCGTCTGATACAATTGTAAATTCTAATTCAAGTGGAGCATAACGTGTGGAGCATAACGAAGAGGTAAATAATAATTGCTTTCTAACAGTCCGCATACCGGTTTATGTCCTAATCGCATTTAACCATTAGCGCCGGGTATTCCTGCTACTGAATGGCGAGTATATCGTGCTGTTAAATCTCCCCAGTTGTTGTGGTCTCGTGTAGTTGGAAATGTAACAGCTACGGGGTCGGCAGCGGGATTGGTTCGTTTAAAAACATCTAACATTTCTGCTATTCCAGTAGCATAAGTATGTCGCCAGTCATCATCCCAGCGAGGATTTGCGCTACTTTCTAAATCGTCCATATCTCTAGCATCTTGACTTTTAAAGGAATTATACAATTCACAATGCCTATTGTATTCAATAATATCTTGAACTTGTTGCCCGCCTACAGTGCATCTATAACGACTGAAGAAGGATGACAAATTACCTACCGGTCGTAAAAAATGGCTTCGTGTTCCGTCAGTGTTTTGAAGATTTGCAAATAAACGAATAGAAGATAAATCAATATGTGTGTTGTCTTCTCCTGATATATGAAATCTAATATTTTTGTTTCCTGCATTTGGATTATAAACATTGCTGCCCGATGGAAAATAATTAACGTGTCTTCTGTCTGTGATGTATTGTGCTGTTTCTGGAAGTCCAAAATTTAACGAGTTAACCATTGTAGGTTCACTTTCTGCAATTATAGTTTCCATTACTTATATATGATAAACTTAGATTCTATTTTTTATTATGTATATTTTTCTTATGTGGAGGCATTATAGTAGAATTGATTGAAGTTGTATTGTTTATAGTATTTGATAGATAATTATTTTTTGTATCAACTATATCTTTTAAAGTATCATAATCTATTTTTTGCATTGTTTATCGTATTTTGTAGGTTCTTTTGTCAGTTTCTTCTCTAATGGAATTTTGTTTTGTTTGTCTTTATTTCTAAAAATTATTATTAATATTCTTGAGAAAATGTTAGTCCATTTATACGCTTTATACAATCGTCTAATTCGCCTATACTTATACAAATAACTTAAATCATCTTCATCTAACGGAATTTCTTGTTCTGCTTGTTCTTCGAGAAAGTCAGTGTAATCAATTCTACTGTAATCCGTATAATGCTTCTTTTCATTTTCAGGATGTAATTTTAAATAATCATTTTCATACCTTGTCCTGTCCAATTATTGAAACTGTGTTTATCTAATAAATTATTGCTTTCCATTTCTCCAGTTATTGCCGCGTCATCGAACATGGCTGTAGGGACTCCACGATTTCTAAATCGTAAGTATCGCCGGTTTTTCTGTTGATTACTTCCTGATACAAAAGGTGATGAATAAACAGTAGTGGCATATTTGTTTCCGTGTCTGTTGTTGATCTCTTGAACAACGGAAGTGCCCAAACTGTGACCAACAATTCTACTCACAT